AGCAAAAGAACAGAAGTAAAACATGTGTTTCATAATGCAGCAACCAAACAGTATAAAATGGTCTTATTTCCTACAGATCACAGAAGTGCCAGGGCACTTTAACTTAAAAATAAAACAACGAATCAAAAGCATGTCAAAATTCAATCTTGAAGTTAACTGTGATTTTTCTTGGGGGGTAACCTAAATATCTATTAGCTCCTAAAGGTAAATCATATCGCATTTCGAAATGAAATCTTTCTGTAGGCAGCAGGAGCCTCTGAGTCAGGCAATTGAACTAACGAATTTCTCCTCCTCCGCTGGGCGAAGCCGATCGCGCCCAGAGCCATGTGGACGGGGCTCAGCCTGGTCCTCGCGGTCGCCCTGCTGCCTGTCGGCGGGGCGGAGAGCGAGGGCGGAGGCGGCCGCTGTAAGACCCCGCCAGAATGGGCCGTCGGAAACGAGCAGCCCATGACGGACTCGGCGGGGAGGGTGACAGTGGTGGCCCTTCTTCAGGCTAGCTGACTTTTCTGTTTGGTGCAGGCATCCAGGTACACTGATGTGCAATGAACAAGACGCCAGTACAAATAATCACGTTTTTGACTTTTCTAACACATTGTTCTGATCAAAATAATCGTTTAAGCTAAATTATCTTGTTCAAAAGTAAGGAATGCTATGAATTAAGTCATGATGCAAATGTATTTTTCCTCTCTGGTTTAAATATGTCTAAGTGTAATAACATTCACAACTTCTTTACAAATCACTATAGCATACAGGGTTGTGTATAGATATGCATACATAACTATTTGTCTTCTATTGGAAGACTCAGGATTGCTAATGTGGTAGTGTGCATTTTCTTTATAAAATCATTTTAAAACATATCCTTGCAGTACATCACCTAACAATGAATAACTAGCTTTGTGGCTTGCAAAATCAGGTTTGAACTATATCCCCTGCAAGTCTCCATCACAATATTAAGATGCAAGATTTTTATTACTCATGATAGCCATGCACTACAAGTTCTTTTTAGCTGTTTAGCCAAATTAAGCATGATTTTTAATGGGGGGCTCAGAAGTTACATTGTTATTAATTACAGCCTAATTTTCTTGAACAGATTGGATGTTCTGCGCCTCAGACTTGAGCAGCAGGGTCTGGTGAACATCTCCTACGTGGTTGTTAACCACCAGGGAGAACAGTCTCACCGCCTGTATCCGGTCCTCAAAAAGAAGATGTCACAGAAAATCAGGGTGTATGACCAGGACCCACTTCAGGAAGATGTTTGGAAGATCCTGTCTGGAGAAAAAGATGACTTTCTCATTTATGACAGGTGCATTTGTTTGTCTTAGGTTTTTCTAGATAAGGATACATCCAATAGTTGTACCTCCATAATGAGAACACTTTTCCTCTCGATGTCCATCATTTTTAGGAGTATACCTATGAATCCAATTGTACTGTATTTAAGGGTTAGGCCTATTTTACTCTTTGCATAGTTTTTTTTGTAATGGTTGTTTCAACAACCATTTTCAACTGGAATGGGAAATTTCTCTTTTTCACTGACAGGTGTGGCAGTCTGACACATCATCTTGGGCTGCCATATTCCATGCTGACTATGTCATATGTGGAGGATGCCATCAGAGACACGTACTGCAAGGATATCTGTGGAAACTGTTCATTAGAGGTATCTATTTATACACTAAACGCCAATAGGATGTTTTTCAATTTCACATTTTGGTACCTTCTAAAGGAACATACTTTACTTAATAAACAATTCCTAGAGGATCACCATTCATGAATTTATGCCAAATGAAACACCAGACCTTAGTCTTTATTAATTTAAATCTCTTGTAGAGCTCATCCTTACCTGTAACATGCAACAGCACTGTGAAGCCTGAAGGGAAGCCAGAAGATAAACCTGAAGAGTCTCCTGAAAGCCATGGCCATCCTCATGCTCATGGTCATGGTCACCATCACAGTGAAGAGGGCCGTCAGAGCCACAGAAGGCATTCAAGTCATGGGCATCACCATGGCCATGGCAGGCATCATCATGGCTCACAGCAGGAGTTCAACAACGGCCAAACACAAAGGCACTCACAGACACATCAGCAGCAGCAGTTAATTAAGAACCCAAGCCTTCTATCCCAACAGGAGGTTGTGGACTTCCCCCTCCGTATAGAGTGGCCATGAAAGAAAGGGGCAGCCAAGTGAAAACATCAGTACAGCTGAGAATGGAAAGAAGGGTCTTCTGACCTACTTTCCTCCAGCTGATGTTGACACTGTCGCCAGCTGTTTGGCGGCGAGGGATGAGACCAGGCAGCTTTCTGACACTGTGAGGAAAAGCCTCCAGCTTCCTGCCAGTGACAGGGCCTGCAGGGCGGGAATCACGTCAGGGAAACCTGACAGTGACGCTCGTCCTCCAAAGCCTGACGTCTGCCGTCAGCAGCTGGTCAGCCAGAGCAGTCCTGAACTTGACCCCAAGGCAATGAGAGGTGAATATGACAGGAGCAGTAAGCAGTTTCTCTTTCCTACTGCACTGCCCTGGGAATAACATCACACTGATAAAGGGAGTTCTATAAAGCAAGCCAGTTGTGTACATTGTTGCTACCATCAGCATTCAATTCATTAAGATTACCAACCTGTCTGGCAGAACGTGAGATCAACAATAATTATAGAACACCTTTATCTTAACCATCCTACCTTAGGGGACTACGTTCTCATTTGATTATTACCAACTAGTATTAAATTGACTGCTTTTTATTTGTGGTTAGGGCATGTTGATGCATTTTTCAACTATATGCTCTTTTTGCCTAAATGATGACAGGTGCAGAAACTAAGCACTAGGGGTACCTGTTTGAAGCCAGGCAATGAAGAGTGGAGGAACAATGCAAATGACATACTAATCAAATCCACTTTGTAAGCACAGAATCTGCGTAACAACATTATAAAACTATATAAAAGAAGAGTTGTGCTATAAATTGTGTAGTGTAGGTAACCATCTTAAATTTTGTGAAGAGATGAGAACATCAAAAAGTTAAAAGGGATCAAAGAACTTATTTTACACTTTGTGGACAATGTAATACTACAGTACCTTCCTAAATAGAATAATGAAAAGAAGGCAATTATGTGAACAGTTTAAAAAGCGATAATGGTCACTACCTCTAACATTTTGTAAATTTTTAATAGGTTCTTTTAAAACCTTCCAAGTCTAACACCCTACTAGTTTAAGATAAAAAAGAGCTCTTTAAAATATACAAAGTGATTATAAAAGCTTTTTTTTTCTTCAAAGTAAAATTTGATTTCCATGTGGCACAAATTTTGCATTGAGGCAAATTTCATATTATCGTTTTTGATATATCGTGGTAGAGCAAAAAACAATTAACAGCTTAACCCTGGAGTTCAAACAGTGTTAGTGTAGTTGAAGCTAGTCGAATCGCACATTTCAGAAAACAGGAGGGAACAAAAACAGGAATTTATAGGTGTGTGATCAGGCTTGCTTAAAATATAGCTTATCTAGTATGCAAAAACTATTTTAAAAAAGCCAAAGATTTTTTTTGTTAATTTCAATGTATTAACAACTTAAACAGTCTGTGAAATCACAATTTTGTTTTATTAAAGTAATCAAAAGAATGTTAAGAAAGACAATGAGTTGAAAGTTAAGAAATGGATGTGTTGTTTGATAGCATGTTCCTTACTTAATGACAGTGTCTAGGAAAACAAACCTCCTAGATACTTGATAACATGTATGGCAAATGCTATCAATCATGAAAGCTGAAAAGTTAACCAATATTGACTGAACAAGTAATGCTTGTTATGAATGTTTCAAATAAATCTTATTTTTAATACAGCACACTGCTTATTCTACGTTTTTAAATACCTTTCTACAATAAATAACATATTTTCAATAAACTGTGCCAACATGCTATAACTGAGGTATCACCAGGAATATCTTCAGCATTACATTCTGGAATTATTTAATACCATTGGAGCATAAAACTTTAACTCATATTTTTTTTTTGCAGTCTTAGAGATAATTCTGCTAAAACTTCCTTCTTTTTGGGTGGGAGTCATGGGTACATCCAAGCTGCTGTTCCATCTCTCTGACAGCACGACGTAAGGTTTCAATCTCTCTGTTTTTCTCCTCTTCTATGAACTGCAGCTTCTATGAAATTGATAAAAATATGCCTCTTCTGACGTTATATGCCGTTATTATGCGACGTTCTACGCAATCCATAATTTTTCATAGTGATTGAAATAAGTAATGATGTCAGACACCTAAGGCATCATTTTTAATTAAACATCATCCTGTGACAAAAGTGTGACAAGACTGTGACAAAATCCATATCATTTTAATGGGAGACATCTCTTCTCTGCTGCTCTGTATTTACATCATAGATCCACCCATGCAGCCATAATAAAAAAGCAGATTTACTGGATTGCAACCTGGAGCACATAAAGTGCAAGGCAGGACCAGACACATCTGCACCTAGACACCCTGTCTAGGGAGAAACAAATTAAGCTAGGCAGCATTACTTAATGATAATGCTTGAAAAGCAAAAGGTATAGATTTACAATAGTGTACAGTAGGAGGCTCACAACTTACCCTTTTAAAAACGTTTTGCAGTAGATTGGAAGGATCTTGCTGCTGTGTTTTCACTGAAGTGCTCTGTATTCTTGCCATCTTTGCGCTGAACTGAATTATAAAGTAAAAGTAGTTTTACACAGACTATTGGCCGGACTGGTGACTATGTCCTTCTTCGTATGGAGTAATCCTTATCATAGTGGGACTCAAGCATGATAAAACATAAAAGGCTTCAGATGCACAACTGTCTTGAGCATAAAAAGCCTAAACAATGCACATATAAATATTCAAACAAATACCAACAGACTGTGTAAAAAGCATTTTACCTCCATTTGAAGTTTAATAATTTCACTCTGTTTTTCTCGTTCTTGATCCCGTAATTTCTTTTTCAGTTCTTGAATGTCTCCTTCTTTCCTCTCAATTATGTCTTTCAGCTCTGACTCTTTAAGTTCCACTATAGAAAGGTAAAAAGCAAGAGAATATTATATACTGCTGGTTAGTACACAATTCAGTGACAAAACAAAAGTACTGACTTCACTGACATTATGACAGATTTGTTCTGTAACTTAAGTGGTAAAATAAAGGAGTTTTACAAAGCTTTACACATATGTTTCATTAACACCATTCTTATTGCTATTGAAGAAGCATAAACTAGAATTATATCAGTCTCTTGGAATTACAACAGTAATTTAATTTATATGAAATCTTCTAATTAAACCTATTAAAAAAGTTTCCGTCGTTTAAAATGACTATAACAACACCTAAACCTTTTCCCACTGACATGTGAGGGTTCTAAAAATTAATAGTAACTAATAATGTTATCATATCATCTACACTTTATTTAAAGCAATTAAATAAAAAATGTACATATACACATTTATTGAGATGAGTGGGAAATTATAATATTGTAACATATGGACAGAGTAGACAAAATATTAACAACTGAGATTTTTAAGTAGAGATTATCTAAACCTTTGTACTTTTTACTCAAGATAAAAGATGTACTCAAGGTGAGATATTAAACTGAGGTCCTGACTACTTAGTACAAGTCCTTTGGTTAAGTCATTGAGCTGTCTTGATTACTGATTACTGAAACTTGTAGGAGCAGGATTTGCTAACCCCAGTGTCCTGATCTTTCACTTCAGGGATGCTCAGTATGACCAACTAAATTTCCCCCTTCAACTATTGCAATAATTTCTCACTTCTTTCTCCCACCATTTCTCACTGGCACAAAATGGCTACTGCACATCCCCAGGATGGATACTGCACTACAGAGGTGTTTGAAGGTGCTTCTTTCTACACTGTCTTGAAAAAGTATTCAATCCCTTGCAAAGTATTCATACTGTCTTGTTTAAAAACTTGCAGTCATGCTATTCTGAAGCAACAATTAATATTTGTTATGTACACAACATACTCCACACATTAAAAACAAAAACCAAAAAGGAAAAAATAGATAATTATTATGAAAGAAAAATGGAAAAGTCTGAAGATTGCTTCAGTTCTCAAACCCTTTTCTGTGGAACACCTAAATTAATTCAAGTGCACAAAATTCTCTTAATGAGCCACACAGTTAGCTGAGTGGCCTCTGTGTGAAAAAACAGTGGTTCTCATATTTCATGATAAAAACCCAACTTTGTAAAGAGCTTCAGTCAGGTAGTGAATTTCAAGCAAAGATTCAACCCTGGAGTATAAATAAGCTTTCAAAGAAAGTCGGGGATAATGTCACTGTAAACTAGAAATTAGGAAAAGGATACAAAAACAAACCTGTCAGCACAGTCACACAATCATCAAATCATTTTCTTGATATTAACCCATACACTGCCTATGTCAGGCCTTCCCTCCAAACAGAGTAGCCATGGATACTGGTGATGGATGCCACTGCAAAGCCAACGGCAATTTTTTAGGAGCTACAGAGTTAAATGCCTGCTGTGAGTGAAAATTGTGTTAACAATTCCCCAAACACAGAGCTGGCTTATATTTTAAATCCGACTCAAAACCCACAAATAACATGCAACAAAGCATTTAAGAGATGCTGCAAACCCATGGCAAAAGGCTTTGTGGTCCAATCTGGAATTTTTTGGTGAAACTGCAAAGCATTACTTTTGGTGGAAAACCACTAAAGGGCGTCACCCACTCAACACAATTCCTATAGTCAAGCATGGTGGAAGCAGCATGTGGGGATACGTCTCCTCAGTGATCTAAGGCAAAAGCTATGCTTACGTGGTTTATGAATAAGAAAGTGAATATCCCTGAGTAGCCCAGGCAAAGTCCTGTTTTGACATCTAGTGAGAATCTGTAGGAAACTGTGAAACCTGGTGTCCACAAGTGATATATGATCAATTTGAGAGAGCTTAAGCAAACCTACCAAGAAGAATGGACAACAAATGTATCAAGCAGGTATGCAATATATAGTTGGTAGAGATTTACTAGCAGCTATAATTGCAGCCAGAGATTCTTCCACCAAAGTTTTGAATTCATGGGAGTGAATGCTTGAGCAACTGGCATATTTCTGTTTTTTCTCTTCAGTTTCTGCTGACATGTACTGTAACTGTAACTTATCTTAACCTTTGAAGTTTTCAGTTTGTGCATTCAGGTTTTGAATAAAACTGTTAGTTTAAAAAATGTATATACATCATTTTACGATTTCAGAAAATGGACACCATTTAAGAAGTTATCTGAATAATTTGGCAAGACACTGTAAATGAAGGTCTTTGGGGTGAAAAGAACTGTACTGTACTAACTAAGCAATTATTGTCTACATTCATTTTACATAAAATTCAGTAGTTAAAGTAACAGTCATGAGCCACCTTTTTTTCAAAAGTTTTTTTGGAAGTGAATAGACTGCCATATAGAATCCCTTTCCTACTACAGCTCAGGTAATTCTAAACCTATTACAACACAGCAATTCTTTGCTTTCTGAAATTATGAAACACGTGGAATTGTAGTCTTTCCTTTCCTTTAACCCAAAAGGGAGATTGTTATAATGCTAATATTTTCTGATTATTTTTAATAGTCCAAGTCTTAATCTATCACAGTGGTGTAAATAGCTTTCAGTTACGGTAACTAAACCATGAATGGGCCAGGTGGGTTCAGTAGTTGAGAGCCTTAAAGGGTAAGTATCTTATTAAAAAGAATTTCTGAAACTTTCGAAATAGAGAATACCTAGTTACAGGCAGACAGTTCTACTATGAGAATTGGGAGGGCTTAAGTATTCCCACATTAAAAGCAAAAATGCAAGCATGAGAGCCAACCTCCATGATATACAAGTTACTCCTAACAACAAATATCCCAAAGAAATGAAGCTGGCACCACTAATGACCATAAAAATGAAAATAACGTTATTTTCTAATTCCATTTCCTACCAAAATATTAACAGCTAAACACAGAACAGGACATACAGATTATACATTGATAGGGAATTCCAGTTGCCTCTAGAAAGAACATTAGACATGATTGGCAGCACAGCCTTTTTATCTACGCAACTGTGAAACATTTTTATTTACACTTCCTCTTCATATCCTGCTGTGCCTCAGTCATCTCAACCTTGTGATCCTCCTTTATGGCTTTCATCTGCATTGTTAGCCTCTCGACATGAGTAGTATGTTCCTGTTTTAAAAACCCAAATTCAGATGGGTTTGGAAACAAATTTAATAGATACAAAATGCATCACTGTTCAAAGTCACAAAAAAATAAAGTACGCCTAAGTCTGGCATTTTTTTTACTGACATAAAAATGACAATAAAATGTGATCTATCCATCACAGTAATGTAAACAATACTGGATCTTTTCAGTACAATACCATAAGGTGTTTAATCTACAGCTACAAATGTTTATTGCAAATTATTGCCATGAATTGAAATTTTTTTTGTCTTATAATAAAGGTCCAAAACCAGTGCATAAACAGGAGAAAAACAGCAAGTATTAAAGATTAAACAGCAAATATTAAATATTAGTACTACTTTACAATGAAAATAAGTCTACTGTATTGATCTGAACTGACTATTAAGTGACTTTACAACCACATGGATATGTAACAAAATAAGAACAAAGTATACTAGTGAAAGAATATTAATGTTTTTCACCTGATCTTTTGCTTTATTTTTTTCTTCACAGGCATGGATGACCCTTTTTAATTCTTTATTTTCATCTGAAAGGGTACATGATCACCAGAAGTGATAAATGATTAGATAAGAGGAAACCAAATGAAAAAGAAAAACAACAAAATGTTACAAAGTCTACAGATGTGTTTTTGTACAGATGTACAAAGAGAACATTTCTATCATAAAACTGGTTTAAAAAAACTCTGCTCTATCCTTACCTTGCAGGTAACTCAGGTGCTGTATTGTTTCCTGAAGTCCATTAATTGTGGCTTGAAACGTAGCGCTCTCTGAAAGAAAAAAATGCATGAATATGAAAATTACTGCTTAACATTGGGAAAAGAAAGCATTCACATCAGAATATTTTTCTCAGCAAAACTAATATTAAAATAGTCTGACATTAGCATGACAAAGAAACAAGTGAAGGTGAATGTCACACTGAAAACATGAAAGAAGAAAAAATGCTACATGTTGGCTGTGAAATCTGATGGGGAGGATGAGGAATTAGACAGAAATACAAAGAAAAGCGAGATAAAATAAGATTTTATTGTCCCCTGAGGAAATTTTTTTATGGACACCCATGGAGGCCGAGAAGACAGAAGAAAAAAATGTGAGAGTCGGTAGAGTGATGTAAACAGAGGCTAAATGGATGGAATTCTGGTTGATGAATTTCAGGGTGAAAGGCAATAAGCAATAAATAAATGGAAAGATTTTAAAAGAATTTAGTTAATTGTTTACTGACAGGAGAACCAGGTTGGAAGATATTTTTGGTTTCTGATTCCTTTCGAGTGAAGGTGGAATATGTAAGCTGCAGTTGATTACCCAGTGAAAGCTTGGAAAATGTTCATTCCTGTTCATGATAAGACATAAAAAAACACTGATCTGATGTTTCAGGATAGTGTTATTTCCTGCTTTTAAAATGTTAGCCCCTTGATAATCTACTTTATATCCACCAGAGGGAGGCAAAAGTACACTGTGTTAATAGTAGTAAAGGGAACCTCTCATTTAAGTGATTATGGTAATTCTCTGCATTGTGGTATTCATAAAAAGTGGTGACTTAGTCAAAGCTGCTACAGCTTATATAACTACATTATATTGGTAAAATATTATCAGATCTAATCATGAACAAATGTTATGTCAAGGAGTGCACAACATCCCTTCAGGAGGGTACATCATTTTAGATCCAAGATCATGTTTTGAGTGCAATTTTTATTTTTTATTTTACTGTAATTGGAGTAATTATGTAAAGTAATTCTGTCCAAATTGTTTGAACTTTCACTTTAGATTAGATATCAATGTAAAAATGCTCCAATAATTTAATATCACAAGTTATTACAAGTTATCACTTGATACTTGTTATCACAAGCATCTATTAAATATGTGGATTATAATATAAAAATACAGTAAATATACTAGATATATAACACTGTCAGCTTTATAGTATAAAACATGGTACAACCAGTAACCATTCTTCATTCTTCATTAAGCTTCTGAAATGTTTGAAGTAATTTGCTTGTGCAAATATAGTAAGATTATGACCATTTCAAGGATGAGGTGCAAGGCTCTTTACTGACATTATCAATAAATTCCTTTTCTAAAACAATTTCCTAGCCTACCCGCAAAACTGATCATGCTGTATAACACAGAGGAAGAGAAGTCTCCAGACTTTCTAGACAATCTGATTGAGGTATAAACATGTTAAAGACAAATCTATTATGTGGGTTAGACCTGATGCAGTATTTGCTATTGCATTACATCAGGACCTGTGATCATTTAGTCCCAGTTCACTTTAAATTTTACATTTTAAATATTTTGATTAGCATGGCTCCATAACTACATGACACAGTAAACAAACAGCCTCCGAATCCGACTGTTTTTTAAGATATGGAGATATACAAAAAGAAAAATGGATAGGAATAGGTTTTATGACTGCAATGGCCATAAACCAGGGATAAAAGTAAAAGTGGAAAAAACTGGATATAAGTAAAAGAGGAGAAGAGCAACATCCATGTTACTGTCAAGTATGAAGTATGAAGGATCTGTATATATTTTACACTCATCACACACTTTACACTTTACAGGCGTTAATAGCAATTCAGGGAAACACAAAGTATGGAAATTACAAAGACACCATGAAAAAGCAATTAAACCATTTTGTAACTGCTTCATCCAATAAAGGGTTGCAGGGAAGACGGAGCCTATCCCAGCAAGCAACGGGCACAGGGCAGGCTACGCCCTGGATTGGACGTCAATCCTTCTCAGGGCAGACACAGTCACACCAGGGCCAGTTTTTCCAGAAGTCAATTAGCCTACCAGTAGGTCTTTGGACTATGGGAGGAAGCCGGAAGTCCCAAAGAAAAACCAGGTCAACGAAAACAAAAATGCTTGCACATGTAAACTCACTTACCTTCCTTCATGTAATTTTCTTTACTCTGTGCTAATTTCAGAATTCTGCTGGTTTCATCCAACTTTATTTCTAACATATTGTTCTTCCCCCGTAGTGCAGCTATTTTCTGGACAAATACATAATATGTTTTTATTAATTGTATTGTTAAACAATTACATAGAGATATCAGGGATACCTTAAATGGCTAATGCATCCCTCTACTCGGGTATTCTGATCAGGTGTTTGACCAGCTAATTCATACACTAGTTGTTTTGCTTAAAAATCAGGACAACATCATCAGTATAACTAGCAAATTTGTTTTAGGCACAACAAAATATCTGTATTATGTCAGATCCATAAATCTATTTAATATTGTGCCTCTTAAATACACACTATTCAGAATGTCCTCATGAGAATCCAAACTACATTGGACACTTGGACTAATACAGATCACTCACATGATTATTCTGCATCTGCAAGAAATTTAATCAGGGAAACAAAAAACAAGGACCATATCAGTGTATTCTGGTAAAAGTTCTTGCTGCCAAAAATGAGGCTTGGCTCACTTCCTGCACCTCAATTCAAATTTCATTTTGCATAATTGATTGAAATCAAATTCCAATTCAAGTTCACTTTCAAATAATAATTTCATTTAAATTGATAAAACCGACTTTCCTACGTTCACTCACATTTGAACAGTTACGGAGGCACCACTCATCTTCGGGACATGCACAGTAATTGAACTTGCTCTTGACAGACTGTGCCATTACTTGTTGAGTTATATATTTATTTTCTCAACTAAGATAATGTAAAGTGACATAAATTGGGTAGTGTAATGTATACTCATATTGTATATTGCTGGAAATGCAAATGGAATTTTAATCTCCAAGCCCTCTCCAAGATTACATAAAAGCTTCTCAGTGGTTTTCTTTTGCTGTCATATAGGCATCTTTCTGCCTTACAACTGCAAATGCTTATTAAAAGCAATTAAAGGCAACATTACTGCTGTTTAGATCACAGGCAAAGAACAACCCAGAACAAAAAATACAACTATCCAGTATTCAATCCCACTGTGAAGGTTAAATTTATCTCTGAACTACATACAGAAAAAAATCAGTATAATTACACCTTGAAAAAAGCATTTTAATACTGTACATTTTACTTATCTTTTTAACCTACCTGCTCAAGAAGAGAGAAACTGTCGATAAGCTTGTCAAGATTCACAGAATTACCCTTCAGCATTTTGCCTGCTATAGCACTGATAACTTAAAAAGATAAAACCAGTTTTGAAAAATGTGGTCAGTATATTTTCTCTTACAGAAAGGAAGCTCATTTTAAAAAGAAAATGTAAACTAGGCAGTATTTTGAGGATTTTGATTCAAATGTCACAGACAACCCAAGCCTCCTTATCACTCCCGGGATTCTTCCCCATTCCTACAGCCTCCTTTTAAGGGATAGAAAACCTCCTGGAAAATTCCTGTATAATCCTAGCCCCACCCATCTTGCACACATCCATCCCATACACAAGGAATTCTGCCTGGTGATTAATATATATTTACAGGGGAATTCCAAAATCCCATCCGCCCATTTCCTAAACGTTTCTTCCAATTCAGGGTCAAAGGGGAGAAGTAGCCTATCCTGACAAGAAACGGGCAAAAGGCAGAAGACACCCTGGATGGGACGCCAGTCTATTGCGGGGTAGACAGACAAAAACACAGTCGGGCAATAACTGACAGACCGGCACACCTAGAGTTATTTTTTCACTATTAACCTACCAGTACGTTTTTGAACCATGGGAGAAAAAAGGAGCATCTGGAGAAAACCAACCCAAACACGGGCAGAACATACAAACCCCACACTGATGGCACCCCAGTTATGGAACTAAACCCAAGGCACATATGCTATCCATTGCACCACCTCTTGAAAATCCGGTTTCCTGAAAATGCATTAAAACCAATTCAAACAGGAGCGGAGTGCCTGCATGAGGAAGTCCACCCTCTCACAAAGAACTCCCTGCAAAGCTGCATGCGTTTGAGCTGAAATAGGATGTTTGGTGCTGCTGCCTCACAGCTCTTGGTCCTGGATTTTAATTCCGGATTGAAGTGGAATCTGATGGACTTTGCATCTCCTGACTGTGTCCGGATGAGTTTTCTCCAGGTGACTGGTTTCCTCACACTAAGGCTTTAATGGCTAAACTTTCTGACATCTCTAAATTTTCCCCATGTGCATGTGTGTCTGCTAGGCGATGGATTTTGATGGGTGTAGTCCTACTTTGTGCCCTATGTTTCTTGGACAGGCCTGTGTTCAGCGTATTTGTGATAATAAGTGGATGATATATGTACAAAAGTCCAACAATCATCTAACATGGGCTGTCTATCTTCACTTGTTACACTGAGTTGTATACACACATTTAATTTTCCCCCTTCAGTTATCATGTACACAGGACTTAGTTCTCTTTTTATATCTTAAAACTATAATTGTAAACAAGAAAAGGCTAGATTTTCCCGTGTGATAAACATTCGACTACACTTCAAAACACACTTCTCTCACCTACTGTATATCAGCAAATCCAAATGGGCGGTACTGTTAGATTTTAAATTACAACAGCTGCTTTTGCTTATCGTAAGTGGTATATCCTAACTTCCCCATTAATTTTATTTGTAATACACAGCGTAGCGCAGGCGCTTTTAGCGCTACGTCAGGAAGGGGAGGTGAATCTCCTAGGGTCACAAACCAGTTTCATAACGGGAAAGAGTGCTGTCTTAATCAACGCAAGTGTCTTCAGTCCAATATACTGCATTTGAGAGTCCAAACTCCTGTTTGTGGAACTTGAATGTGTTAGTAAGGTTAAGTGTCATAAATATCAATATCTAGAAAATCAAAATCTGGCGGCCACTATCTACTGTTCATTAGTCTTCTTCGCATATCCACGCTGTTCTTGGGGTCTTACAATACATATCCCAGCTGTTTTATAAAACAATATATTTACATTTTCCTGTATTCTCATTACATACCTACTATGTATAGCTTGTGCTATGAGCAATATCTCTTCCCCAGTTCATCACCGACCAGCCGTCAGCCTCGGCTCTGCGCTTGCGCACCAAACGTGCCTCACCTGTCAGGAAAAGAAACGCCACCACTGCGTTTCTTTAAATTTGGGGAAGGAGAGAATATACTAATCAAACTGTTTCATTCTGAAGTATTTCTCTTTCTGCTGATGTGAGTTGCACTGGAGATTGCCAAATATACATTTTAATTCATGTAGTAACTAATCTTAACGGGGTTTGTAGTCAATATTAACGGTATTAAAATGCGTTTTATATACAGTACAACTACCTGAACTGTGATCTTGTCAAAAAGCAAGAATGGATAGGCCTTGATTAGTCTTCAAGTCACTAGGTGGCACCGTGGTATCTTGACTGTAATCCCAATCCCCACACACACACAATATTTTAGTTGTGATCATCTAAAATCTATGGGTGACAGAAAAAAAATAGTTTATCTAAAATGTCTAGAACCTTTAAATATAGTTTTTATTTATATAAATATGGCGATAAAACATTTATGATTTTTATAGAATTCCTTTTGTATCATTGCACAAAAACATGTTGGTTATAAAACCTGGCCTCCCTGATGTCCCCCATCTTTAATTCAAGTTAAAAGTCCTCCATCTTCTTCATGCTTTCCCTTTCATAGCTCGTCTATCAGGGGCAAATGTTTAAGAAGTTCATTATGTTGTATCTGCTTAGCTAGATTAGAAGCTTTACTACCTGATTGGGCAATCAACTGGATGGCGCAGTGGTTAGCACTGCTGCCTGTGTTCAATTCTTGGGGTGCTGTCTGCATGAAGTTGGTGCTGTATGTTCTCTCTGTGTATGCAAAGGTTTTCTTCAGATGCTCCAGTTTTCTCCCACAGTCCAAACACATGGAGGGTTAATTGGTTTATGGGAAAACTGGCCCTGATGTGAATGTGTGCTTGTTTGTTTGTTTGTTTGTTTGTTTGTTTGTTTGTTTCGGTGTGCGCCCTGTAATGAGCTGGTGTCCTGTCCAGGGTGTACTCTGCCTTGTGCCTGTTGCTTGCTAGGATAGGGTCCAGCTCCCCCATGACCTTGTATTGGATAAAACGGTTAGAAAATATATGGATTTGGTTCTGAGAAAACCCTTCTTTCTTCCAATGTCTCCATACCTTGTTGCAGACCCAGGATGAACAGATATACATTCTGAATGTCACACTATTTTATCGATGAAATCAGAGTCCTGTTGGCTCACAGCCTCCACATTTCTTTAATCTGACTCAGTGATCTCTCTTCAATAAATAACTGTCTGTCTGACATGTGCTTTCAAAGAACATTCTGTTACCTGACCGTGCAGCTGAAGCATGTTTTCAGGGTTGTGCAGTTCCACATTCAATAGGTCAAAGTTTTATTTTTTTGGTGACCATAAATTATGTTGTATAATTTGAGTATTCTCAATGCTGCAATAAAGACATATCAATGGGCACTTTCCATTAAAAATAAAGTAGGGATTCATTTACAATACACTTATTGGAAGAAGCAGTTATTAACAGTCACAATACATTATAATTTGGAATCTCTAACAAATGTATTGTCTCAAAAAAACAATTTCAAATCTTGTCCTGGTATACAAAAGCTGACATTTTCTTATGTAAAACAGCATTGAGCAAAATGTTAAACAGTAATTCATTAAGAGTGTAGAAATGTAATAACATATGTATTGTCTATTTTACTTAGATGACATCTATTATTATGTATTTGCAAATTATTACAAATATGAATTTATCAAAACTTTGAAAATGTGTGCAAAACAATGTTTAACATTGTAAAACTAGATTCTAAGAAAACCCTAAGCTTTTCTGAAAGGGGAAAAATTACATTTAGTAAAACAAGTGTTCTTCAGTATAAACACATTTGTTGACCTTAAAATCTGGACTGCATTTTCATTTGGAGACATAACTGACTGTACAGGGTATTTCAATTTTTGCTAAGTGTAGTTTACGGGATTGAGAACAAAATATCTACTTTCAATAAACAAACATGTGGGAGCAATTTTTGATGAGTTCATAACATTTGGAAGGCAAAAAGTATGGCCAAGTCAAATCAATGCCCGGGCTAGAAAATTTGATTAGGTATAAAAGAGTGACATATTATTGGAAATGATCTATGATCTTTGTACTCTTTAGCTGTCCCAGGATGTCTGTTTTATTTGTTTTCATGATAACCACAACACTTTTTAGAAGAAAAACAATATTGGATTCCTAGTAGTTTTATTTAGAAAGTACTGCATTCAATCCGTTTGCTTGCTTTAATCATCTTAAACTTAATTGGTTTGGTTTACTGGTTGACTAGTTGCAGCTTTGGTCTCTCTGGAGGGAAAATGCTGAGAATATGGGTCAGTTTGGGAGCAGGAAAGGAGAGACAGCCTCTGCTACCCTCCAGATCTTTCCTATATGTTCTGATTAGACTGGATCCCTTCTCCATCCATCCATTTTCTCACCTCTTTTAGCTAGTACAGGAACATGGGAAAGCAAGAACCTCTCCCAGCAAGGCCAGATGCACCCTGGACAGGATGGCAGTCTATCACAGGGTACACAAAGACACAAACAGGCACACTCTCACACCAGGGTCAGTTTTCCAATAAGCCAAGTAACACAGTAGTATGTCTTTTGGACTTTGGGAGGAAACCAGAGCACCCAGTGGAAAGTGTAAACAAACATACAAACTCCCCCAGGTGTGGAATTGAACCCAGGAACCCAGCAGAACAAGGCAGCAGTGCTAACCACTTCCTGGCTTTGAGCCTGTGTGAGACTTTTGTAGCCAGTTCACACATAGAGAACTCACACTTGCACGTACACTTTGCTGAAACTGACCATGTTAGGTTTTCTGGAAGAAAGAACCAGGAAAGAAGAACCTGTTACTGTATGCTACTGTGGGAATATGAAACATGCTACACCTACTGTACACATGGGAGCTAGGGGGGTCATTGAATAGTTGAAGTATTTCTGACTATATATAAAGTTTGAACTTTTCAACCTTATCCTGTTATTTTATTTCACTGTGTAATTGCTAAAAAAGAGTCATTGCAGATTGCATTAAAATTTGGGTGACTTAGAGGTGATGGGATGTACTGTATTTCATGGCTAAATATGAACATAGTATTGCTTCATTGCCTGCACTTATGATTAATTTTTAACCCATAGCATATTGGTGTCTGCTTAAAAATAGAAACGTTTGGAATACCAAACTTTTTACCAAAGATTTATATGATTTTTTTTCTCATGTGTTCATTAATGAAGAAATAGAAATGTATTTTCTTTGTGCTATGTGGAGAACCATAGTACTTAATACGCTGATAGATTTAACAACAATAAATGAACACTTAAGTCTAAAACACAGATTATTTAACCTTACTACCGAGGAACGACACTGGTAAAAGCCTAGCAAAAATAGTTAAAATAGTAAAATTGCAGATGTATGATATAAATATGTAAGAACAAAAGCATTGGTATTAATAGGAATTATGGTATGGATATAAAAATGAGTTTGATGACATGGGTTATAAAAGTTAACCAAAACTTCATATTCTGGTAATAATATTTATACAATAGTTCTTGAGAATATCAAAAAATATACAGTGCCCTCCATAGTACATTATTCATCAAACCCTGCCCTTTATTACATTATACTATATGACTGTATTGATGCCACCATCTGCTCTAGCACTCAGTCCTATCTCTTTATTACTATTATGGCACTTAACCAACTTGCATCCATCTCTCAAATTCACTGTTAATGATCCATCACTCTTCCTATTCTGGACATACTGTAAGTCTTTCATTAACTTGACAGGACAGAAAATGTGTGTGTATGTCTCTGTGTTACAGATCCTCAGATTCACTCAGGTACTTTATACTTAAAACTGTTTTCCATTGTCACAGTTCCTCAGAGTGTGATGTTTATACAGCAACAAGACTGACTTTCAAGCCCTTAAAATGTGGCCTTTTTTCATTGAGAGGGGATATTGTTTGCACTGTGTTGGCAGAGCTCTCACCCGTGTTAAAAATAGCCTTTGGAACATCAGCCCTAGAATGGAATTTCCACATCCAGAACCACATTCAACTATTCTTTCCTTTCCTTTATTACACCCTTTTCTCTTCCTGATGTCATCGAACGAAATGTATCAATTGTACAGGTTGACTTGAAAACTGGACCATTTAGACCCACCAATCATCTTGTACCACCTACCACTAAGTCCTTGCAAGCTTTTTGTCCACACGCACCATCCACACCAGATCCACACGAGTTCCAAACTTGAATTAGTAGTAGAGTGCAGTACATGTGCACTGGAATTCTTATTCACGCTGAACTCTCAGGACCTACACAGTACAACAGACGACACAGTGCAACAGACAACAGCACACAATGTAGACAGTACATTACGCAATGGAACATGATAAATAGTAACAACCAGAAACAATAAATATGTGGTGGTGAACAATAAATATGTGGTAGTGAAAAAGTCCATGCAAAAAGTGCATAAAGCAGAGGTGCATTAAGTTCTGAGGCAGCATGTGCATATCTTTTACGCCCAAAATAGGACATAATACAAAAATAAACAACATAACCCAGAGTTACATGAGGACGGAAAATACACACTACTATGTTGAAATGGAAGCTGATGTATTACCTGCAAATGCATATCCATCAGCAATCATATACCTGGCTCTTCTGGCCATTTCAAGATCACTCAGAGGAATTTATTGCGCTTTGAACACTACCGTGAAAGCTCATACACTTCCTTCTATAGTGTGCAAAGCTTAGTCCCTGGCCCACAGCCATGACTCTGCTCTTTTACACCTTGCTGTGGTGTAGCTCTTGTAATCCCCTCCTTTGGCAGTGCATCATTGTTGCCACAGGCATCACCTAGCAGCAGATGTTTCAGCAGGAGCTCCTGTTGAAGTGAATACACTGCACATGGTTCCCCGTCTTGTTGACTTAATTAAAATCTCGTCCAATTCAGAACAGGGCTTTATATAAAATAGTGTTCTTCCCGAATTGTGTTTAAAACAGACACCCAGGGACGCCCT